CAAGGGGGCGGAGCAGAGGGGCCGGCCACGGGCGATCGCGGAGAGCGGCGTGGGAAAAGCCGGTGGGAGGGAGGGAGGGGGGTTCCCTTTCCGGGCCGGGGGCCGGCCAGAGCCGCGCCATGAAGAGGCAGCCGACCGGGCGCGGACCGGAGCCGAGAGCCGGCCGGGTCGTGACCAAGACGGCCGAGGTGAGAGGCGCGGATGAGCGGACGGGGGCTGCGGCTGATGGAGAGACGGGCAGGGGCGAGGGGGAGCCGGGCTGGGCTGACTGCGCGCTTCCTCTGCCGCAGTACGTGGGCTCCTTCGCCGTGGAAGACGCCGATCTGCCTCGGGCGGGCCAAGCCGTCCATCAGCGGCTGCAGCTCCTGAAGGTGCGCGGTGGTGGGTTCGGTTTGGAGCGGGGCGGGGTGGGGAGAATCCGGCGGTCAGGCGGCTCTCCGCGGGACGGGTTCGCCGGCGCCTCCCGGCTCCGTCCCTCTTGCCCTTCCTTCTTCTCCCCATCCCCACGCAGGACTGTCCGCGGCGCCGCTCCGTCCTGCTACGCTTCTGCCTGCAGGGCCTGAAGATGCTGGGACGCGACGGCGAGGTAGGGCGCGCCTCCACCTGGCGGGCTGGGGCGGCGGCGGACAGGCCGGCCTGGAGGCTGAAACCGCCCCCGCCCCCGCCCCACACCGAGCCGCTCTCGCCCGCAGGCGCCGCTCATGGCCCACGCCCTCAAGCGCCTCGCCTACAGCACCTGCCGGCCCGCCGACCGCCAGTTCGCCTTCCTGGCCCGCAACCCGCGGGGCGCCCGCGGCAGCTTCTTCTGCCACCTCTTCGTGGGCAGCCAGCCCGGCGAGGTTCGTGGGCGAGGCTGTCTCCAGGTGGAAGGATTCAGCCAGGTGCTTGCCGGTTCACCTGGCGGTGACTGGCAGGGCAAGGAGGGGAAGACAACCGAGCATCGCTCAGGCACTCAGCCTCCTCCACCTCCTCCTCCTCCTCCTTTCCCCAGGTCCAGGCGTTGCACTACCTCCTCTGCCGCTTCTTCCAGCTGGGGTACCTTCTCCTGCACCCCGAAGAACAGGACTGGTCCTCCTCCGGGGGCTCTGCCCAGCGCGATTCCGGGGAGCTCCTGGGCGCCTCTCTGGACAGCCAGGTGGTCTGGGAGTCCCTCAACCCGGAGGAGGTCTCCCAGAACGTCAACGCTCTGGTTTCCTTCCGGAGGCTGCCCTGCCCCGCCGAATTTGGGACCTCGGTCAGCGTGGTGAGTGGCCTCTGCCTCCCCTCCTCTTCCACAGCAGCGGGTTGCTCTCTGGGGGGGTGGGGGGGGCTGGGACCCCTGAGACATGTGTCCCTTCAGGCGCCTCCGAGGGTCTTAACTTCCAAGCCCAGGTTCCTCCAGTCGAGAGCCGAGGTTCGGTTCACAGCCAAGCGACTGTTTAACAACCGCAAGTAGTTGGACCAGCCCCCTGGACTCTCTGCCTCCCCTGCTCAATAGCTGCCCTGCTTGTGTTCCTAGAGAGAGAGGCTGGACCTGGAGGAAAGCAGTAGTAGCAGCGTGGGCAGTGCCCGTCCTGGAAACCCATACTGCTCCCCAATTTTGGTGCGGAAGAAGGCCATTCGCAGCAAGATTCTCCGTTCCGGGGCCTACCGGGGTTGTACCTTTGAGGCGGGTTCTCAGCAGGGCGCCTGGGAAGGATGTGAGTATTTGCGGGGCCTGCGGGGAGGGGTAGAAAGAGAAGAGCGAAGGAAGAAGCCAGGAAGGAAAGAGGCACAGAGCTCTGTTTGATAAGCTCTGCATTGCAGACAAAAATCTTGACAAGGGAAAAGGACGGGTTCGCTTTCTTCCTGGCAACGTTTAAAAAAATGTCTTCCGCGCATTGCAGATTGAAATAACATGGCCGCCGGGCTGTTATTTAGCAGAACAGGAACCAAGCGTGGGGGGGCTGGATCGGAGCCAGAATCCACCAGCACAAGACCTTCTGCTGCCCCATTTGCCACGTTTTCATATTAGGCAACGTGAAGCCCTCCTCATCTGGCTCTTTCTGTCCTTGGTTCCAGTTTCTTCCAGTTGCGATGGCAAAGGGAGCCTCCTTCACCTGCCAGAAAACGAGAACGATCTGAGGGAGAGCGTGTGGTCCTTCGCGGGCATGAACAGGTGAGGAAGGGGCCTCCCCCTGGATGGCACTGGGACCCTGCCCACCCTGTCAGCAGACCAGGAACCATTTGCTGCTGCGCGGCAGCTGTGGATGGTTGCTGGATTTTGTGTGGAGGCTTCAGGGGCCTATGGGTGAAGCTGCAGAGATCCTCCCCCTTCCGCTCAGCTTCCTGCATTTTGCTCTGCCTTCCAGAGATGCCAGCCTGGCCCTGCTGAGGAACGACATGCTGGGGGCTTTTCTTCTGTGGGCTGAGTCAGGATCCAACCATCAGTGGTGCCTGGCCGTGAAGACCCGCTGCGGTGTCGTTCCATATCAAATTTACCGCAGCCAGCTGGGAAAGTACTCAGTTGAGGTGAGAGAGAATTGGGAACGGTGGCAATGTTGTCAAAATAACAAAATACTCTAAGAACGTTTGCTAATCTACTTTGTCTACTTTTGACCCCCTTCTTCCTTGCAAGGGTGACCTTGCTGTCCTCTTTTCTCCCCTCCTTTGACCAACAACACACATTCCCAAAGTATCGCTGAACTAGCTTGCTTTCTTCAGTCTGAGCTTCAAAAGAATTGAAAGTTTTTAATTTATCTTTTCAATTGGGCATTCTTTTTGCTTGCAGTACCTCCCTGTGATGATTTACTCAGCAATATCAACTTCTGTAAAGGGCGCTTGGAATGAAAGTGTACAGCCTGTCATATTTTTCTTTTCTTCTCTCTCTCTGTCCCTTCCCTCCCTCTCTCCCTCCAGCATTTGAATATAGAATTCCCCAGTATGGAAGCCTTGTTAGACAATTACTCCGAGGTTCGTGCAGGCCTGTTCTGCTCCTTGGGCGCAGGAAGAATCAACCATTGTTATGAGGAGCAAGACGGCCTGGCCGAGGATCTCTGGGGAGAAGAGCGAACTCGCCGGAAGTCTTCGTGGCTGTTTGGGGCCAGTCGGTCTCTGGCTGTGCAGCACGAGGGGGAGGGATACTCCGCCGGGTCCTTCTCTTAGTATTCCTGCCATCCGAAGAGGACAGAGACCCTGGCTGGCCCTTTCTGCTCACTCCATGGTTCTTTTGTTGTGGCTCTTTTCCGGTTGTGCGCAGAGAGTGCCCTTCCTCTCGTCGTGTCGTAATTCGGGGTTTCTTCCTGCCCTGTCAGCCCTGCTGGAGTCAGAGGGCTGACATCACAAGTTGGCTGGGGCCCCACACCCCATCTAGGGGAGTGCCAAGGGGGTTCTTGAGCTGACAGCACATTGACAGATCGGTTTGGGAGTCACCTTGGCTGGCCAGGATGCCATACCGAGCCCGTCTGCTCTTTGATCTGGCCAGCTTTCTCCGGTTTGTGCATGGGGGAAACAAATGCCTTTGAGCAGGAGTCTGTATTTCTGACCAGCCCTGCAGTGTGGTCTGTTGAGCGATGCACCCATGCCTTTATTTATAGGAAGCTGAATGTATAGTCTGTATGTGAGTAATTTATTGGAAACAAGTGTATTGTTTTCTCTGGGCTGCTGTGTACAGTGGTGAAGATGTATTGCTTATATTTAACAGATGCAAAACCGTTTGTACAGAGATGTCCTGCAAACTTAAATATATAGAGAGATATATAGATAGATATATATTTGTATTTCAAGTACAAAGTCTTGTGCATCCTTTTCTTTCCTGAAGATGTTCGCTCATTGCGCCTCTGTTACTACGGCAACGATCGTTCCCCTCGGCGATCCATTAGCCGTTCCTGTCTGCCGATTGGCTCCTGGTGGCAGAAGGGGCGTGGCGGTAACCCGCCTGGCGCAGCGAGCGCGGAGTGATCGATACATTGAGGGGCGGGTGGACGGAGGTGTCCCCTTCTCATTAGCTCACGCGGAAGGACGGGCCCCGCCTCCTCTGCCTTCTCCATTGGTTCACTGAGGTTCCCCCCGCCTCTTCCGGCCGAGGTCTGTGAGCTCATTGGGGGGGGTGGCGGGTTCGCTTCCGGGGCGCCCAGCGAGGGAAGAGAGAAGATGGCGGCTGTGTTGCTCTTGGTGACAGGGCTGGTGGCGGCGGGAGCTACGGCTGCGGTGCCCGGCGGGGGCGGCCCGCGAACGCTGGTGCTTCTGGAGAACATGAACCTGAAGGACACGCACTCGCTGTTTCTGGGCGGCCTGGCAGGTCCGGTAGCCGAAAAGGCAGGCGGTGGGGGGGAACGTGGTCCCGGCCTCCCTCCCCGGACGGGTCGCGGCGGCCTCCCTTCACTCTCCTTTCCCCCCGCAGAGCGAGGCTTTGACCTGACCTTCCGGACGGCGGACGACCCCGGCCTGTCCCTGATCAAGTACGGGGAGTTCCTCTACGATAACCTGGTGGTCTTCTCCCCCTCGGTAGAAGGTGAGGCGGCGGGTCGCTCTTCCTTCTCCCTCCACCCCACCAAAGCTCCGGGGCTCTTCCTTTGCCGTTGGCGCCTGGAAGGAAGGGAGCGATGAGTGGCCCGGGGGCGAAATAAATGATAATAGTTAACAAATAATGAATGCGATCTGCAGATTGAAGTCGAGCGATTGTGGAGGAAGAAGCCAGTGGTTGTACCGATAGTAACAGGAGCCCTTGGAGCAATACCCAAAGGGCTTCCTGGATACGTGGAAATTTTGAACTTATTAGACCTGAATATTCTGATTTTGCAAAAAAAACAAGCAACAACCCCACTTTACTCAGAACTGCCTATATACTGTTACTTTAACAGCTCTTAGGTCCTTGCATTGTTAAGTTTTAACCAGTCCCAGACTGTGAATCAAATTGAAGATTAATAATGATGAATTGAATTGAAGTTTAATAATGATGATGGTGATGAATCAAATTAAAGATTACTAATGATGATGAATGAATTGAAGATTAATGATGATGTTGATGATAACATTCAGATGCTACCTTACTAGCTCTTAGGTCCTTGGTTAGGACTTGAATGGTTACATTTTTACCAGTCCCAGATTGTGAACTGAAATAATGATGATGCAGAAAGACCACTTTATTCGGAACTGCCTATATCCTCAGACATTACTTTAACACCTCTTAGATCCTTGGTTAGGCCTTGAACTGTTTTTACCAGTCCCAGACTGTGAATTGAACTGAAGATTAATTTTTAAATAATAATAGATTCAAGTCAAGATCCTGTGGGACTTTCAGATCCAAAGAAACAGACATCTGATCGAACAACATGTCTGAAATCTCTATTGTGAAAAAGAAAAGTCCGGTTCATTGATATTGCAGTGTTGTGGCCCCGATTCCTGAGCCTATGCTGTCAGAGGAAGAAGACCTGGAAGATGAGGAGGAGGCACTGGCAATGCCTTATCATACTTGCTAGCTCTGTTATTGTTATTATTGTAAACATTTTGACCTTGTGACAAGAAATTTAACCCACCTGGTCATTGTGTTTCAGATTTTGGAGGCAACATCAATGTGGAGACCATTGCTGCTTTCATCGACGGGGGTGGAAACGTCCTCGTGGCTGCCAGTTCAGATATTGGTCAGTGAAAAAGGCACAGCAGAACAGATTGTCTTCAACTTAAGAAGAGATTCTTCCCCTTCTTTATTCTTTTTATTATTTCAATCTCAGGGCTGGCCAAAGCCAAAACAGCAAAAGTCCATCCTACTTGGGGACTGGGAGAACATTTAAGCAGTTTGTAGAAAGTAAAGTTTTATCTTGATGGAGAAAAGTAATCGATCATCAATATTCATCCCTTCTGTTTTGCAGCTATTGTCAGAGACAGGCACTATTGAGAGTTTTGCAGTGATAATTCAGCGCCAGAAAAATAAACACAAATGGCTGATGCTTCATTTAACTTCTTTATAAACATAAGTAGATTTTACAAACCAATTGTAGATTTCTCCAACATGGAGCAAACGCAGAACAGAAACATGTTGCAAATTCAGAGCAGAGCTCCAGTCTTCAGCAAGCAGGCAAGTTAGTTTCATCTTCAGTAGATCAGCAGGCAAATAAGAGGAGAGAAGTGGTTTCGTCTCAATCATAGCTGCAGAGTTGTAGAACTTAACATGGAGCCACGGCTAGGCTACTTTCAGTTTCCAGGCTAGGCTAATTCTCGTTTCAGTTTCCAAAACAGTCCTCATTGGCTTATTGTAGTTGCCATTGAATCTATTCCAGTTCATGAGTATATTCTGACAGGCAGTTGCACTTGCTTTTGAGCCATGTAGTTCTAGAAGTCTGCATCTTTTTATAAAATAAGTTGAGATTTTTTAAAAAAGACAAAAACCCTTCTGTGCCTTCTGATAGTGCAGATGGATTGATTGCAAGTGCCTTCCCCGCATATCAGAAACCCTCTTAGGTGGCAGGTAAGAGGAAAGGATGCTACAACAAATGGGCTTTCTAATCATCCTTAGGCGATCCGCTTCGAGAATTGGGAAGCGAATGCGGGATAGAATTTGACGAGGAAAAGACAGCTGTGGTTGACCATCACAACTACGATGTCTCTGACCCAGGGCAGGTAAGCAGGACAGAGCACAAGGGGTCCAGTTGGCGGCTGCTGCCCTTAACAATCCGCCTGCTCCCAGGGATGACCAACACCGAGTCAGACACCTCCTAGGAAATTCAGCAGGTGTCTCTTTCTTTTCCTCTGTAGCACACCCTCATCGTCGCAGACTCTGAGAATCTCCTTAAGGCTCCAACGATTGTGGGGAAGAAGCCACATAACCCCATTCTTTTCCGGGGAGTCGGGTAAGTCCTGTGCCTACCCAGCAGGATGCTCTGGCTGCCCACTTCCACTCACGAACCCTTTTCTTACCAGGATGGTGGCTGATCCCGACAACCCTTTGGTTCTTGATATTCTCACCGGCTCCTCCACTTCGTATTCCTTCTTTCCTGACAAAGCTATCACCCAGGTATGTGGGACTTGTGCTTCCCGATCCATTCAAGAGAGTTGGGGCCCTGCTACTCCCCCTCCTTTTTAGCCCCACTCGTGCTGTGCCTAATGAGCCTCCTTCAAAACGGCTAGCTTTTGAGGCTTCTCTTATGTGTCCCCCCCCCTCCGATTTCCGCTTCCGACCTGCACCGCTGTTGGTTGTTGGGCAACGCTTTCTTTTTCTGGAAAGACTTCAGACAACCTCATGGTTTGAATCCATATTCCTGGGTGTTCTGACCCAGCTCCCGAAACAGAACGAACCCTCTGTAGTTAAATCAATGTTTCCTTTATTAGGAGCGCTAGCAAAAAGTTTCTCTTTCACCTCAGGCTAACAGGTCTGTCCGGCAGGGGAGATGAGTAGGTGTCTGCCACACCTATTCATCCCCGCCCCCTGCCTTTTATCCCCAGAGCAAAGGTGGGGCTTTGCTAGCAGTGATGGCTCTTCCGTCCCAAGGACCGGCCCATAGATTTCCACTGCTCTCCTCTCCTCTGCCTTCTGCACATCCACGCATCAGGCACTGGACTTGGCTGTGTCTCCTCTTCCTCATCAGCCGCCTCCAGACCTGGGGACTGTTGACTCTCTGTCTGAGGGCAGATGGACAGCCCAGGCTCCGCCTCTGTCTCTCTGCCAGCTCCATTCCCTCTTCCCCATTGGAGCTCCCAGGTTGGCCTAAAGCTGACCTTGACTCCCACGCCTCCTCTGATTCAGCTGTTGGAGGGGCCGGCAGCTGACAGGCCACAACACTGGAGTTCTTGAATAGAGAAGGATGTTTGCACAACTTACGTTGGCTTCTTTTTTAAAAAAATAAATGTACTAAAAAACAAGGATGAATTAAGAATGTTCAAAGGTTAGAAGAACAATGTGCAAAAGCAGTCTCTCTCTTTCTCTCCCCTCTCCGCCCCCCAGTACCCTCATGCTGTCGGAAAGAACACGCTCCTGATCGCTGGCCTGCAGGCCCGGAATAATGCCCGCGTGGTCTTCAGTGGCTCCCTGGATTTCTTCAGCGACGCCTTTTTCACCTCGTCGGTACAGAAGGCGGCAGGAGGCTCTCAAAGGCAGGCGGCTCTTGTTGTCGGCTTAGCTCCAGAGCTGGGATGTGGGGTGGGCAAGAAGGCAGCATTGGTTTTGCGTGGTTGACTCTCTAAGCGAGGCTCTGCAGCATCGCTTACAAAAACAAAAAAATTGTCACCTGATACAACAGTTCATTTACTGACCGTCCAAAAGTTATAACGGCATTGGAAAAAAGTGACTTATGACCATTTTTCAAACTTATGTCCTGGCCTCCCCAGGGTCCTGTGGCTTACATTCAAATGCTTGACAACTCATTCACATTTATGACGGCTGCAACGTCCCGTGGTCATGTGATCCCCTTTTGGGACCTTCTGACAAGCAAAGTCACCTAACAGTCCTGTTAAAAAAAAATTGTACTAAGAAGGTTACAAAACAATTTCAGCCAATTTCTGGTGCTTATAAGAGCCGTGGTGGCGCATTGGTTAGAAACAGGACTGCAGGCTACTTCTGCTGACTGCCGGCTGCCTGCAATTTGGCAGATCAAATCCCACCAGGCTCAAGGTGGACTCAGCCTTCCATCCTTCTGAGGTGGGTAAAAGGAGGACCCAGATTGTTGGGGGCAAGAGGCTGACTCCGTAAACCCTTTAGAGAGGGCTGTGAAGAGGTATAAAGTGGTATATATCTTAAGTGCGACTGCTGTATAAATTTGGTGGTTTGAGCACCTGAGATGCAGCCCAGCATCTTCCCACCAACCTCCAGCTGTGAGCCAGGCACAATGAGCGATCGGTTGGCCGAGAACTTGAGCTCCAACCCTGGGTAAGCAGACAGAAGATGAACCTGCCTTCTCTACTTCAGGTACCCCCAAACGGGGAATTACGATCTGGCCATGGCCTTGTCCCGCTGGGTCTTCAAGGAGGAAGGGGTGCTCCGTGTGGGCGAGGTGTCTCACCATCGGGTGGGCGAGAAGGCGCCTCCAAGCGCCTACACCGTCACCGACTTGGTGGTAAGAGCTTTTGTAGCGTCTTCTCTCTACCACAAAACCTCGGGGTTCCTGGTGCTGGTTTTTTTTTGGGGGGGGGGGGGTGTTTCTCTCCCCCATTTTTTTTTCACGTGGCGGTGGGGGTCCTCCGTTGCAGGAGTACAGCATCGTCATAGAAAAGCTGTCCGGTGGGAAATGGGTTCCCTTTGATGGCGACGATATTCAGTTGGAGTTCGTCCGCATTGATCCCTTCGTGAGGACTTTCCTCAAGAAGAACGGTGAGGCAGCTTTCGCTTAATAACAAGTCGATCTTTGAAATGCGGATGTGCTGGTTTTTTATGCTGGGTTAGAAACTCATGCACACACTGTCCATTAAAAAAAAAAATTAATTGTCTGGCTGTCTGAAATGCCAGTCATGCATCATCACAAAATCTCCAGAAGCGTAAAGGCTACAAACTTGAAATTAGGCACGTATGTTCCTCTTGGCTTCGAGGTGCTCACTAAGAAAGGATTTTTCAAAATGACCATCAGAGCTATTAGTATTTCCTGTATTATTATTATTAACACGCTCTGATGCTAAGGAATTCTACTTCCCCTCCCCACCTGAAAGGAAGAAATCTCTTCCAAATGCAAAACACAAGTGGAGGAGAGGAGTTTCAGTTTTAATTTCATAGCACCAAGCAGCTTTAGTACAGAACAGTTGAGCTAAGCCATGCCCAGGCTCCTTGCTGTCCCCCTTGCTCGCACAACAAATGCTGTTTCAGTTTCCAAACAGCCCTCAACTCACTGATAGGATGCTAGCCAGATGACTACTGATGGATGCTGGTAGGCAGAGGCAGAATTTTTTTCTTCTGATTTTCCTCCCCAAAAACTAAGCCTGACCACAGAGTTTCGAGGCGAAGCACGGGGATCGAGCTAGTGTATTTTTAAAAAAAGACTTTTTAGTAGCTGTTGTAGATTTCTGATCGGTTGGCCTTTGGAGAGAGAGTCGTGAGCAGCTCTTGTTGATCAGGGATGTCTGCCTCACAAACAAAAAAGTCAGGAAAGCAAAACTCTTGGTGCCCTGCAGCAAGCGGGCTGGAGAAAAGCCCGAGAAGCTTTCTGGCTTCTGGATTGCTCTGACACCAGAAATGTGCTTGGCTTCCAGGGGGAAAGTACAGCGTCCAGTTCAAGCTACCAGACGTCTATGGGGTCTTCCAGTTCAAGGTGGACTATAACCGTCTTGGCTACACGCATCTCTACTCTTCCACGCAGGTAATTGTGTTCTTTTCCCTTCCCCTCCGAACACACTTTTAAGCGGCTTCAGAAACGGGCTGCCTCTCAAAAGACGGTGCAGGATTTGCGCGGGACGTGCAAGGACTCACAACTTCCTGGAGAAACAGCTAGTTCTCTTGCGCTAAATGTCACAGCCGGCTTTTCGGCGGGGCCTCAGTATCTTCCTCACTCATCGGAGCAGTTTGCCGGCTGACGTGGCTGAGCAAGAATCCTTGTCCTCTCTACTGTCTGTGCAGGAACTAAGCTTGTTGGAGGAAGCCTGCTCCCTCCAAAATGGGTTGGGGGCCTGCCTGTAGGAGGACTAATAGGAGCAGAGTGCTGAATTACAGATGTTCCGGTCTCTGTGGCCCAGCTGGCGGCTTTCAGGGAATCTGGGCTGGAGATCTAGCAGTTGCCGAGTTACGGACGTCGTTTATGGTTGTCGGGAAACTACATGCAGATAGGATTACATGCATTTAGCCCCCCTGAAATTCACCACCTTCCAGGTGGAGTTGGGAAGAGTCCATTCCCGGCCTGCCTTGGGACTAATTCCTTGTTCCCCACCTGGCCAGGTGTCCGTGCGCCCTCTGCAGCACACGCAGTACGAGCGCTTCATCCCTTCCGCGTTTCCGTACTACGCCAGCGCCTTCTCGATGATGGTGGGCCTGTTCTTGTTCAGCATTGTGTTCCTGCACATGAAGGAGAAGGAGAAATCCGACTGAGACTCGGACCGGAGAGCAGCGTTTTGGAGGTCCTGGCACCCAAATGGCCGACTCCAAATTAGGGGACATTTTTCTGGACCGAGAATTGGCCAGAAGTGGGGTGAGAAGAGTTGGCTTCTCCTTCCGTTCGTGGGCAGCCTGGAAGCCAACGAACCAAACCCAGAGGGTCTGACCTCCCTCCGCTTCCACGCCATGTTTTTTTCTCTTCCACCTTTGTTCCATTTTGCAAAATAAAGACGCCATTCCACCCCCTTTCCCGGGGCTCTTTCTGGTTAATGTCAGAGAAGCGGCAAGAGTTTTGCCTTTTCGGTCACCGCAGCTCCTTCCTCATCTACACCATCTTAATGAACGTTCTTGTAGGGACCTGATGGCTACCATGTTTAATAACACGGACGACACAGAGGTTTGTGTGGACAGGCATTAAGAGGGGAAAGGAAGTCAAGGGAGAAGCCTGTAGGAAATCGCAGGGAGCTCGCAAGCAGGCTGGCAGTCTTGTAAGTATCTGTTGCTGGGTATACCCATTGAAGAGGGTACACTGGCTCCCTTTCGTGTGGCCTAATTCAATACCATTTATGCCTGTTCAAACTTGGATTCTTTATTCCAATAATAATATAATCGGAGGCCTTTACAAAGTTGCTTTTATGGCTGCAATCCCAGATGTTACCACAGGAAGGCGGTGTTTAATAACAAAACATAGCTACTAATACTAATACCAAAGTCAGTTTAAAGGGGTTTTAGCTGGTTTCCTTCTGTGTCTGTTCTGCAGCACCCGAGCCTCTTGTTGCCCTAGTAAAATAATAATAACAACAACAGTTGGAAGAGACCTTGGAGGTTTTTAGTCTAACCACCTGCTCAAGTAGGAGACACTATTACCATAAGTAGCTGTGCAGTCTCTTCTTAACAACCTCCATTGTTGGTGTACCCATAACTTCTGGTGGCAAGCAGTTCCACTGGTTAATTGTCTTCACTGTCGAGAAATTTCTCCCCAATTCCATGTTGCTTCTCTGTGATAAGTTTCCATCCATTGTTTCTGGTCTTCAGGTGCTTTGGAGAATAGCTTGACTCCCTCTTCTTTGGGGCAGCCCCTGAGACTGCTATCGTATCGGGCCTAGTCCTGCTTTGACCACAAGAGGGCACTGTTTTCTGCCCCTTAGCATTAGCAAGGAAGCCATCATAGGCACTTTCAACTGGGTGTAAGGATTCTTTTAAGATTTCTCTCTTTTGTGCCTGTTCTGCAGTCCCCGGGGCCTCCTCTTCCCCTGATACTTTTTTAAAAAATAATTATGCTATTAATAATAAAGATACTAATAACCTTCAAATGCCTTCGGAAAGATTTACAGGTAATCCTTGACTTATGACCACCACTGATCCCAAAATTTCTGTGAGACAGTTCTTAAGTTGAATGTTGCCGCATCTTTGAAATCTTTCTTCCCACACTTGGCAACTGAATCGGTGCGCTTGGTAAGTTAACCCAGGGGTGTTAAGTGAATCTAGCTTTCCCATCGACAGTTGTCAGAAGGTCGCAAAAGGAAATTATCTGGTTCGCTGTAACCGTCCTAAATATGAATCGGTTCTCAAAACATCCAAATATTGATCATGTGATTGTGGGAGTGCTGCAAAAAGTCGTAAGTGTGAAAAATGGTCATAAAGTCACTTTT